TCAAACATCATCAAAACAATGCAGACTTTACTTTTAAGAGGAATTTATGAATCAAAAGACTGCATTCCTGAAAGCAATGTTAATGACAAACTGGTTCTAAATGTTACATCAGTGAAGAGAGGACTGCGTTCTTATGTGATTATGTCACAGAAATATGTTCTTAGAATTTTGAATTTGGATCCCTTAACCTGAAAAGGCATCATAAATTACCACTGGATGTGCAAAATCAGTTAAATAAGTTACAAATTGGCTGAAATATGGCCAATGAAGCATAGGCTCGCTCTCCGTCAAACCCCTGTCATTTGGCCTCTGTTCAGAACTCTAGGAACTAAGCCAGAGTTACAGCAACCCGTTAGCAAACTTGAAATCTTTCGTGGGCCATATCGCGCCCAGTTTTCAACAAGTTTAACTGATTTTGCGTATTTACATGTAATTCGTTGTTTTTTAGATTATGTGGTCTAAATTTAAAAATTCTAGCAACAGATTTTATGGAAGAACTCTATGGTCATCGACCACTGATTTTACCAAATCTAAGACAAAGAATTTTAGAGAAAAGGATTTTTGAAATTCAGAAAAGCCACTGACATAGCAATGCCTAGATATGCTATCACAATTTTTATCATCAACTGTTGAACTAAACAACATGTATTGTTAGTAGGCTGTTGATGGAAAATGGAAATGAAAATAATGCTTAGAAGATAGTTGAACCATAAAAGCAAAGTTGAGCTCGTCTTGGCGTCTAAATGTTTTACTTCTTGATATCTAAACGGATGAATAGGTACGTATTACTTATGTACACACCATGTTTTTTAACATTATCATGAAGGTAAAAGACTGTGAAACTTAAATTGAAATTCAGAAGGAAAAGTTCAAAATTTTGATTGAAACTCGGAGAGAAGAGAAAGCCTATCCTGGAAAAAGTTCAAAGGCTTGATTTTTATTTAATGTACATTGTAGCATGCATATTTCAACACTAATCTCGTGTTTTGCCTTTGAGATATCAAAAAGGCATGGATCAAGCACAAGCAACAAAATATGATCTTGATGTGACACAATTTGAACTTTACATCGCAGAAGCTTAGATTTCAGCCTATATGCTCCAAGCGCAATTGTGTGCTTTATTTTCCGTTTGACTGTGGTTCTTGCGTCGATTTAATAATGAAAAACCCATACGAAGTATTTTAAACTGCTTATTGCGAGTCACCTCTTGCGATTTACATTTGTTCCATAGAGCCTAGATGGCATGATCTTGGCTACGCTAATTGCATCAGTAGCTGCCGTTTGAGATTTGCCTGCTAAGACAATTTGCGCATAGCTTTGAGGTAGAGAATTGAACAGGCAAGAAGCTTTAGTCGTCAAGAGCCTGACCAGAGTGGGGTAGTCTTTCACGTTTGGCATCTTAGCTGACCTTACAAACCAACAAATCGTTACCCTCATGTAAATTTAGCTGCTGTTCTATCTCTACAGGTAGCCTGTGAAGAATTCGTAGCATTTTCTACATCAAAGTATCGGAAATAGACTAGCAATTCTTATCACTTTTTCAGTTCCACACTATGGCTCAAGAGAAACGATTGGAATGAGGGTCAGTTTTTTTAATCAAGGTGCAGAGTACCAACTTCAAATGAATAAGGGGTTAATCTCATTTTGTGTTTGGATTATCAACAAATCTGAAAATTCTGAAATAAGAGGGCTCTATATGCCCAGGACGATGATTAAATGCTTTTCAAGACCGACAGAACGAGGGGATCAGTATCTCGGCATCTCAAAAGACTTACAAACGGGTAAACGGATTCAAAGATGAAGAAAGGGGGTTGGAGGTAACTAATTAGGCAGGTCATGCTTTGAGAGACTGGATCAGTGGCACAAAGAGGTAAAGATGCTCCTTGAAACGTTTTAAATGGTGGTACAAGATTACCAAATGAATCAACTTTCATTTAGCAGACCTGACCACTACACGGAGAAGTGCAGATCTGATCAGCCACCAAATTGCTACTCATCTCTGTTGCAAAAATCAACTTTAAAAATGTCTGTCATGATGTCTTGCATATAAACCAGAAAGGGTCTACCTTGGTCACTTCAGAGAAGAACCACAAGAAGGAAACAAGAGGGGTTGCCTGCTTCGCCTTTTCCTCGTGTAATCGAAAAACTTCCTTTACATTCGCGTGAATTATGCTAGAGGCCATGTGACGATATTGTGGGAGGGGCAGGTAAAGCCAATTTTCACAAGAAAATATTCCAAATTTTATCATCCTCTTTAATAAAGCAACTATAAAATTAAATATTGTTGATAAAGGAAACGTTCACAATTCTTAATGATTTCGCCTTTCTTTTTGATTCTATGGCTCAAAAATCTACTGTTGAAGCTATTATTTGGTTTTTGATGATGGTAGTGAATTCAGTTTCAAAACAGATTTTCTTATAATAACTGCACCCAGAAAAAAGAAATAGAGTCTTTAACAAAAGTGAGTGTTTAATTATTTCTCTATGAGAGCTTGCCTGAATTCATCTCCGTGTTTGCCAACTGCCAACAAAAAAACACCTTTCTAACTGAAGAAAACAATGTAAAGGGAACAATTTAATGCAATATTGGACTGAAATGACGAAAAATCACAACATTGGGACTGTAAGAGGAATAAAATTCAGATTCTTATCAGAGATCTTATCAGATTCTTATTAACAAAATAAAAGCAAACGTAGACGGGCAGTCTTTCATTCTCAGCGGGCATGCGCACTTCGAAGTAAAGTTTCATACAGATCCAATGTGACAATATTTATCCCAGGTTATTGATAATAAGGTCGCTTCCACTCAAAAGAAGCAAAGACCTTTGTTCATGTTTCTAAAACTTCTAAACAAACCAATTGCTGTAGGTTTGCCTCAAAATGTAAATACGGATTCCTGTTTTCAGATTACGTAAAGAGTCACTCTTTGTATACACCATTCGGCATTATCATTAAAAAAAGCTGCTGCTATCAAAGGTTTTTGTTAGAAACAAGTGCATCAGCGAAACAAAAACTGTTTTGAGAATTCACATGGCACTGAAAACGAATCGAACCAGTATTTAAATACAAATTAATCAGGTCTTCCCCGGAGCCTGGGAATGTCTGAGTTTCTAGGATGTGTGGGCCTTTTTAGTGGGGTAACAGCCCAAGGACAAATTTGGTAAAAACCCCTTCTTACATGTAGAACGTGTCTCTTTTTTTTGTGAAATATAATTAATCATGATTTTTTAATTATTCGTCTATTTTCTTTATTTCTCTTGATCACTCAAACACACAGAGACTTTGTATATTAAACTAGACGGTCGATGCATTATCCATTATCCATTATCCAATATAAAAGCTACTGTTGAAGGTTCTGGGTGTTTTCTCGGCTTCAACAGCGAACACCTTTTGAAATCTTGGCATGCACTACACTATTTACTTGAAAGATTACAATGCACTTAGACGCAGATACATAGTTTGTCAGGCTAGGCCCTCGAGCTATGAAGTTAAGCTCAGGTTCGTTAAAGCCATAAAATTTTTCTTATAAAAAGCTTGAAGTTACAAGAAAGTCTGAAGGTTTCTCTGCATTTGCACCTCTGTATTATGACCTCTGTTTTGTACAACTGTTCAAAATTAAGAAGTGAGATTGGCCATCGGCTTGAACATGAATTTCTAAACTTTAAAAATCTCATCTTTGCTGCATGAGGTTTTCATCATCATAAACATTCATTGGTTGGAAAGTTTTCCCCTTGGCCAAATGCATTAGGTAGGGGGATTTCCGCAATCAATTTATCAAAGCCTTCGATTCACAGGTATTCCTCCTCTCGGACATCCTCTCCAACAACCTCCAACACTCAAAGGACCCTTGAACAAGGTTTACAGTCAACAAAAACCAACTCAATTGTAGTTCTTAACTCAAGTCCATATATGGAAGTAGAGAATTCAGAGCGCCTAATTAGTGAAACTAGAAATTTGTAAAGAAATTTCCAGCTGCAAGAAAACAATCAGCCGCTGTGATTTTAATATCCGTTATCCAGAATTATGTTTGGTTTGATAACAAGAAGCCCTGGTTGGTTGTTGCCTTGCAAATGTTTCTACGATGCCACATGGTGCTATTGTTCCTAGCAGATGAGCTTGTTCAGCATTCCCCATCGCTATTCTGTCAAGGTGTTTGCAAATTCTCTAGCAACAGTCAATCAAATACTGCTTCTTGCTAACCAGAGCCCTAAAGCTCTAGGCGCGTGATCTGTCACTGACTGCCAAAAAATGGTTGATTTCTTAGAAAAATAGCCTTTTTTCCATTTTTCATCCGACATGCAGGCAACATGCCAGGACACGATACTGCAAGCCGAAGAACATACATTCAAGTCGAAAAATGAATAGAGATTATCTGATATGCAAATTATACCTTTGCGATTATAAGTTTGTTTCGCCTTGACAAAATAATCACCAGGTAGCTAGGAAACCAATTCACTTAAGGAAATGGGTACTTCATTGCAAAAGCAGGGAACAGCGCTGAGCGAATGATTACCGGGTTTAACCAACTGTGCCCTTCAAATCGCAACAAGAGGCAGTCAACAGGAGCAGAAATGCCCAAGCACGATCATCAAGTGGATGGAAACATCTCCGTCAGGCCGTTTAGGCTTAAATCAGTGATATACTTAAACAAACCGGGATGGCACTGTGACAACATACAGCAAAGCACTAATAGGTTTACCATCATTTGCTGCACTATAGAAGCAACGAGAACTTTTTAATAGAGAGAGGCCAAATGGCATCTGAGACAAAACATCAACCTCGAAACAACATCTGCATAGCCTATGTATACCAGCTTTCTAATACACGTAATGCACTTTGCAAATTGTCTAGGGTCGATTCTAAAGACAATTTTTCAACTTCAATTAGGCCAAAGAGGTAACCATTAATGACACAGTAATGTTCTGAATAAAGAAAGTCTGCAGAAAAGCATTATCCTCTATTAGAGATCTCTGTCAAGAGTAGAACAAAGAAACACAAAATGGCAAAATGAAATTGAACATACCAAATGCAATCTGCTTCAATACACATACGATTTACTTACTATTCACAATGACAAAGCCCTTTTCGAACGGCCTTTCTACAAGTGTGGGCTATTTAACATCAGATTCGCATAAATTAAGTTTGTGATATTAATACATCAAGACCCATTAAGTGACAACAAAAATGTCCATCTAAAGCTACAACGTTCTTTGCCAGAACATTAAACTCCATTTTTGGAATTCGCAAAATCGTTACAAGACTGAAATAACGGTGTTATGCTACTATATTCATATAAGTTACTGAACACAAATTCATCATTATACTATCGTGCTTGATCAAAGATACAAATTAGTAATGCTCTCATGAAACGAACATATCGAAACGACAATAGGAAAGACTGGCCATATTACTAAATGAGGGGGAATAAGGAACTTTACAAATTATGTGCTTGTTAGAACACAACTTGAGTTGACTATGTATAGCATTAATGGAAATCTTAATGATGAGGTCCAGCTCCATCTGAGAGACTTTGTAGTGCAGTTTTAAAACAGTTTGTATTTACGAGATAGTCTGTTATTTTCATCTAATTTCCTATTAACAAAAATACAGTTCTAAATACAAAAAATTGCAGTTTGAACTTCCCCCTGAAACTCTAGCAGGCAAAATTAAACTAACCAATATATCCATCCACAGGCATTAATGTACACAATATTATACAAATATGGAAGGATAATTTTAAAAATGTTATAAACAGTGGGAATCTAAACTTTGTGCAGGACATTGGATCATGACTCAAAGTATTTCTTATCGCTATGGTACCCCAAGGAATGTGAGAAATAACCAGCAAAATATCAGAGATATCAAGAAGCTCAGAATAAACAAAAGCCAAAAATGATTAATTGACAGATCTAGTCAAAGCCCAAATGGAAAACAAATGCAAATTCTGGCAGCTTAGAGGCTTAATGAACTATATCATCAGATGTGGAATACAATAAAGCACCATGCAGCTAAACTGGTACCAGAAGAAATTGATTGAAAATTGCAGCTTTCTTTTCAACTGTAAATACTTCTGTGTGGTTAGAAATATTGTGAGCAACATTCTTAGCAACCAGAATAATGAAACTTAAAATAATTGCAATTTTTCTGTCAAATACGAGGAGAGGAGCAATTTGAAGGTCACTTGCAGCAGTGTGCATGCACTTGAAAACAACAAAAGTTTCAGAAAATTTTTGAAATTTGTAAATAAACATTGATTTCTTGCCTGTATTCATACTTGCAAAAGATAAAAATTATTTTTAAGCTTCTGTGACCTTCAAATATAAACCCTCTTAAACTTGGTTCAAAATTATTACTAAACTAATGACTGTATAATCCTACAATTTTGCAACAAGTCTTGGTACCAATCTAATAATTAAAATTCCTACAGTTGACTTTGAGACTGATACATTGTCTGTTATTTTGTGCATCATATGTACAATTATAAGTAGCTTTGGGAATTTTAAATCTTGCCATTTAAAAAGAGGTTACCCAGGACAACATTGCTAATGACTTCCAGAGCTATCTGTGCTGCTTCGGTCATCACCAGATCCGTAGCCTGTTTCATCATCATTTTCCACATCTATTTCATCAGTGTCCAATTTCCGCACCTTAGATGGGGTCTCCTCAGGGGATGACCCAGATAATAAAGTACTTAATTTTCGTCTCAGTTTTTGCTGTTCTCCATATAGTCTTTTCTTAATTATTTGGGCTTCTTTATCATGTACTTCAAGAACCTGAATAAAAAATCAAACACACTCATAAAAGTACTAACTTGACAAAACATGCCTAATTCATACACATTCTTTGACTTCATTAATTTGTCTTTTAATGCCAAAGCTATTTTGCAAGACAACCATCTCTAAAATTATTGACAATATGTATTTTTAAAATTATTTTGAACTTGAAGAATTGTACTAAGTTGAATGTATTTTGTATCTGAAAATTTGCAAGGGAAAGTCTCAAAGGGAAAGATGATGTGGGACTGTATTCCAAAATTTGGTAGTGCACACCAAATCTACAATGTTATAAAAAAATAATAACTATGTTTGTATGCAAAGGAACTGATTAAAAGGAGGTTTGCGTGAAGAAGATATGTATGAAATGGCTGTGCAGACAGAAATTTGCTGGCAACATTTCAGCAAAAATTTTCTATATGGGAACACAAGAAATAGAAAAGGCAAAACAAGACCCTAATTCCAAGACAAATTTCTGAAACAACAAATACAAAGATATAAAGACATATTATTTGTCACCACATGAAAAAGCATAAGTAAAGATCATTGGACACGCCATCAATGCCCCAAGAAAAACCAGAGGAAATTCAAGGAAATTAAAACTTAAATCTAAAATCATTTCAGCTGTAATAATAATTTCATTGTAACTTGTATAAATTATAAAATACAAAATAAAATGAAAAACAAAATAAAATGAAAATATCCATGCCTGGGGAAGCCATGTATGACAAAAACTGTTTCATTTTGCAATGAATCAGTTATTATAGCAACAGACCACAACACCCACATGCAACTTTGAATTGAGGGATTTCCCTTGCACAATAGAACAGGTTGTAACGATTCTTGATTGGTGGAAAAGGTTGCATAGCAACCTGTCAAGTGAACTCAAGTGATCTCACCGAGTCGAAATCATGCACATGGCGACCTGACTTAAATGGACACCTGGCTTTAGTTCGGAAATGGCCTTCTGATACTCCACTTTAGAAGACATAAATGCCACAGAAAAAGAAAATATTAAAGTCACGCGCATTTTGAATCATATAGTTTGTCCTCTCGCTCTCAAGAAAGCTACAGTTATTTCGCGCAACAGTCTTTGTGAAACTGCACAAAGCATCATTTAATAATAGTGGTTTTTAGAAACCCTTCTCATTCAAATTATCTTTCCGCAAAATTTTACAATGCTTACTCAAGCATACAGTTGTTTTTCATTCTTCCAGCTTCCTTTTACTCATGGCTTATCACGTGTCAAGGCCCAAGTTGTTTATGCCCAGGAAAGACCAAGGAAATATATCTTGTATATTCAAACGTTTCCTGGAGAACATCACTGCTCAAAATATGCAAAAATCAATAAATAATATCGGCTTTCGTTGTCACTTACTTTAATATATTGCTTTGCACTTTGAAGAAGACTCAAAGTAGTCGCTTTAGTTTGATCAGGCGATGTTGGAACAAGATCTCTTAGCGATGTCAAACAGTCTCTCAAGTGTGCACGTCTAGAAAAAAGTCACGGTTTTAAGACTGACCTTCATAAACAGAAAGGTCACGATAAAAAAAAGAAACTGTTAAGTCCTTGACTTCATCATACATAAAAACACAGGCTGCTTTTTACATTCATTGTTATTTTTCGTTGGACGAGAAAGCTGCTTGTGATGCCGGGAATTTTTTTTCATGTTTCGGTCTTGGCATCAAGAAAAGACAAGTTATACGCAAAGAAATAAGAGAAAAATCTCAATTAAAAACATCTGCATCTATGCAGCTTTCATTCAATGTGCACTCGGTTTATAAAAAAGCTAGTCGCTAAAAGCTTGAAATTCCACGTGCTGGGCGACCAACTAACTAGCAATGCACGTGGCGGAATTGTTGGGATGCTTTGTTTGTTGTAGGCGCAGACCGTTCCTAATAAAAATCAGAAGGATAAAAAACCACTGGCACGAAAAGACGAGAAAATCTGCAACAAAACTAGGGGAGATTACAACAAAAGCAAATAAATACCTGTTTTTTTCAAGCTGGTTGTGTGTTGCCCTGTAAATAACAAAAACACATCACGATTTCTACTCAATACTTATTACGATATCTTTTTATTTCAAAGAAATTCTGGTGAAAACAATATTACAAGGGCTGGTTCTGGACAAAAACAAAGACTTTGAATTAACGGATAGGAAAAAGGAACTACAGCTGAAAATAAAATCACAGCAAGGGAATTATAAGCACCTGAGAAAAAATTTTGTGTCAAAAATTTGAAATCATATGCAAATTTTCAATTTTTCAAGACTTTTGAGATATGTAAGAAATTAAAATAATTAAAGAAAAAAATTACAAATACAATAATCTCAATTCTGTTTAAATTTTTTTTGGTCAAACGAAGGGCGTATTGTTAAACACACAAATCGTTTGCATTGGTGAATTACCCGGTTGAGCTTCCACGTGCAACAAAATTGAAAATATAGAAATTGCCTTTCAAAAACTTTGCATTGAAGAAGGCATTCCTTCTATACAATAACTGGCAACAACATGGCACAAACAGCTTATCATCATAAAGTTTTATACAACCGGTGGCAGCAGGGAAGCGGCCTACACGGAGGCTCTTTCAACAAAGCGTTGAGATATAATAAAGCCGGTATGGTATAAATGTGACATAAATTGAAGCAAAAAGCTTGCTATATCCGATAAATCACTTACCGATAAGTTTGTGACCTTCTTGTACCTTTTCTTTCTCTGAATTTGTGAGGTGGTGGATACAGACTACCTACAAGGTAAGCAGATACGACAATGCAATAAAATGGCTGAACTCAAATATTCAGAGGGCTCCGTTGAAATGTATGATAATCTGAGAAAAATATCAAATAGATTTGAGCTGTTTATCAGGGTCACAATGTAAAGAGTTTGTCTTTCCAAAGCAGAACACAAACGAAAACGTCGACGTTCTTCTCTTTTGAGAGACGTTCCTTTCCGTTACCGACTTGATGTGCAAGACTCGTGGCTGCAAATACGACAACCGGTTTGCACCTAGTAAAATATCGATAAATTTTCTTCAGTACCTCTATCCTGGTCTTGAAGTATTTTGGCAGCTTCGAGCAAAGCTTCTAGGCTCATTTTAGCTTTACAAACCAAGTCTATTGCACTCGATCGTCTCTAACTTTCGACGCAAATTTTTGTAACTGAGCTGAAAAACAACAAAACAAGGAGTCACGCGCATATGACATCATGTGATCTGAATATGGAAGCTCATTGGTTTAGAATTTGAATAAACCAATCAGAAGGCGAGTGTAGAGCCTGAAAGGATGCTCACATGGGCGCCAAAATTGACCACGTGGGTGAATCCTTTTCCGTGATGGTTCAGGATACCGTGTACCCCATTAATGTTATACATAAAGGAAGTTACGAGGAACGAGGACTGTGATTATAATTGCAATTTTATGTCGTCATGATTATGCATTAAATTCCAAAGAATGGTTTCCAGGTGGGTGGAGAAAGGTAGGCCGGGTCCTGCTTGAGTCACGTTTGACGACGGTAGGTTTGCCACGTTTGGAGTTAAACGATGTTGAAAAGCTAGCGGGTTAGCGTCAAATAACAGCCCTTTACCCCTTTCGTATTATAACATCAGAGAGGTAGATAGGTTTTCAATAAACGAGTTCATTTTATAGTTGGAAGAAAAACATAAACACGACGAGTAACAAAGAGATTTAAATCAGGATTTAGACAGAACGGAATTAAGGAGAGGTCACTGCAGGGGGGAGATGAGGAAAATGCATTTATCGAACAAGTCTGACTATGCCAATCATCAAATATCCCAAGTAATCGAAGCCCCCACAATCAGAAGGAAGCAAGTAAAAAATCTAACCTTGATTGAAATTGTTCTTCCTGTGGAATCTCTAAAAAGCAAAATAATTTGTCTCAACAATGCAGCAAGCAAGCACTTAAACGGCGCTTTTTGACATTAAATCGAAAGGAATAACGCAACGCAAACGAAACGAATTCGCTATTTGAAGCAGATCTTGGCAAATTCTAAGAAAGGTAGGATTTTGCGATAAGTAATTCCCCTGGATCTAAGTGAGTCATGTTGCCCTCGAGACCTCAATTCAAAGTGCATTATTTGTTTTTATTCGAAACATGTAAGGGCGCATCACCAAAAGCCTATTGTCCTATTGTTGGAAAATTCTCCGCAAACGGGCAAATCTGAACCTGCCATGTTGGGCGAAATTTACGACATCTTGCGTGCACAGTAGTTACGTCATGACATTAAAAGGGCTTGTTTCGTTTCTTGGGAGCTATGTCCTGCCAGTACATGCGACCTTAACGTCACATCAACAAAAATTTTCACTTTGATTCTTTAAATGTTCTGTAACATACAAATAACGGCAAAGTATAATTACGCGAAAGAAAATTAATGTTGGAAAGTAGCGTAACGGCAAATTAGGATTAGCCAGGAGTGTCTCACTCAATGTTTTCCCTCTTGTTATGCCCATGACGACGGCTTTCACAGAACTTCATGTTCCTCTTTCGATCTGGCAGACCGTTGATCATCATGGTAAAATGTGTTTAGCTTTGAAGTTTCATCATCTTAGATAAAAAATCTTTGTTTTATACTGTACATGGCCTCAGATGAATTGACACCCTAAACCTGCCCTCGAAATGCCCGTATCTTTCCACTTAGCGAATGCATGTATGCAAGAAATGCAGAGTCAGCGGATTTTAGAGTATCTTCGAATAAACGTTTATTTATAAGGAAAACTGCGCGACAAACACGGAAACCTGCAAAACACATTGGCAAGGAATAGCCTTTTTGGATTACCTGAGATTTCTCTGAAAACAGCTTGGAACCTTAAACACTTTAAAAAAGATTCCCAGTACTCAAATCTCCAACAAAATGTAGAAATGTTCTCTAAACTTTGCTACACGAAGACAAAGCCTATTGAGAAACTCACAGTCTCAGACTTACAATTTTTTTTGGATAATTAGCTATGAGATGAAGATAAAATTTATCATATCAAGGCCAGCAAATAACTGCAATCGCAAGGGATAACGCGCAACGTCAAGGAGAAATAGCATTTCATCAACATGCAAAGTAAAACAAATAAGCTTTTACAATCATCACAATGGTGTTTATATTGAATCGAGGCAAAATACAAAAGAACGGTATCTACCACACCCGGAGACCAGGGATAGGGTGCTATGAACAGAATAACAAGAACTAAAGACTTGATATCGTCTGGGAATTAAAAAGGGGATTGAGCCCTTGTTAGCCTCCTAGCTTTCACTTGCCGATGACTGAACAGTTCTTTCAAAATTTGTCAGGTTTCTTCAAAGAAAGGCCGAAACCAAGAACTGCAGTTGTTTGCTATTTTCATAGCAACCGCGGTAAACAGTGACAAAATATGAGCAGGTTAGGCCTAACCAACCACTCCTTTATGGTTTCAGTTTAGATTGTTCATCTTTTATGGATGGATCTTGAACTTTACCCAAATCAACGGAAGGGTGGCCTAGGACAACAATATTCAAACATGTCATTAATTGCAATAATATGTGATAGGACTTGAGCAACAAACTCCGGCTAAAAGCCAATATGCAATGAGGATTCAAGTGAGCCTACAATCACTGCCAAAAGTACTTGGAACACCCAACACTTTGCGCTGTGCTTTTCGATTTTTCATTTGTTTTCCCGAATACTTCTGCTTCCGTCCCCCTCCTCCCCCCAAAAAAACAACGTTGAAAGTATAGAAAAATATCAAACAGGCCACAAGAAAAGGTATACTCCATAGCCTCTTTTTTATCTTTAGTAAAGCAACATTGTTCCTAGGGGGAGAGAGGGTGGCTGAATTTGCCTTTGAGAGCCTACGTTAGTGTTCCAAGGCTTTTGGAAGTGATTTGATTGTACCACTAGGCCAGTCCCTGATAACCTAACATCAAAGTCCAGGTGTTGCCTGTGCATGTATCGACAAATAAGAATTTCAAAGACCATCAAACGAACTTAGATACTTCCAAGAAGTTTGAAAGTTTCTTAGAAACTTCAAGTAAAGCTTTGATCGCTTGAAAGTTATTTCCGAACGAATAAACTTGCCAAACCTGCGTCAGAATCGAAGGTGCTTTCGTAATGGGGTATTGAAAGCAGGAGTCCAACTTCCCAAAGCTATGCTACCTTCAAAACGAATAGGCATTGTTATACTTCCAAGGAACCAGTGTACCTCCACTGTCGATGGGAAATTAGCTGTGGGGACAAGCCTTTGTTTATATAAAGAGAAGGATAATAGCCTTTTGTTTAAAAGAAAGTCACTGGGGCTGGAGGGGCAATCGCCTAGTTAGTATTTGAAAAAGTCCCTGCTCCACTGTCAATCTACCCCCATTTCAAAATCAGCAAATTCTGATAAATCAAAATCAAAGGATTCTTTAACGAGAGAAGCTGAAATGATATGATAACAGTCGTAAAAATTACTAAAAAAATGTTTGAAAAAAACAATTATATTAACTGGTCATTGAAAAGCTACATTTTCTATAAATATTTGCTATGAAATTTGTAGCCCTCGTTGAAAACAGTTCAAGATTCCCCACGAAGAAAACGAAGCACTGCAGGCATAAGAACGCAGAGGCAGTTTTTGAAAGGAAAACCAAACTTACCAAAAATTATTATACACAAAATCGAAACAAAAACCTTGGTTAGGTTAGCGCCATAAGAGTGCCAAATATTTTCTATTGAAGGGAAAAATACAAAATATTACAAAGTTACGGTAAAAACTGGCATTTGCTTCGTAATATGTTATCGCTGATGCTTTGATCTGAAACTCATCCTATTTTAAAACATCTGAAAAACCTGTTTTTATGTTTATGCCCTTTCAAAAACAAGCACGACTAATATGCATTCGTGCCACACCACAAAGTTTGCATGATATAAGCTTATGAATCCCTGATGCTGAACAGAAAAGACGAAGAAACAGAGGTGTAAATGAATGGTTTCAAAGTGAAGGTTCAAAGAAGCTTTTATTGTTTTAAAATTCACAAAGAGCTACACAGTACAATTTAAACATTTCCAAGAACGGTTCCGAGAATCAACTTTGTAATAACGGCATCAAATGGGTTGATTGTGTTCGGTGTCCAGAGAGAAATAAAACAAACAGCCAAATTTTTTTTTAAAAAGAAAAGCACCTGCTTAAACCTATCATAAATGTGTTCAGAACTATACGATACAGGCTACTGTTTATTGAATATGAGAAATCTTTACTTTGGCCAGCAATATGAGGAATCTTTTCATGCAAATTTTAATAGCTTTTAAAACACTTTACTTATTCGCGGTATATATATAGACTACGATAGCCAACAAAATCTTGGCCTGGCACATTGGTCCATACCAGAATCCTTTGCGAAGTCAAGCTAGACTTGAACTCCTGCAAGGAAACCCTGGATAAAGTAACAATGAGATAGGAGAGATAAAGCCACTGGAAATGTTTATGACCTACCAGGGACTGCCAATGCGGAGAGGAGTGAGGGGGCTTGACCAAAAGTATTTTAATCCATACAAAAATTACCTTGCTCTCAGTGACACAAATTGGAAAGCACAGTGTGACATTTGGAAATATTCATTAATTTGTAACTGTAAGCCGATAGAGACTTTCGAATAAAACTTTATGCCTAGGTATACATCATAGTGAACTTGTTACGAATTCGAAAAATTAGCAATGTTAACATAGAAATAAGATAATCCGTATTTCGAATCGAGAATCGTTAGAATCTGTGCTCTACATTTTTGCGACAAAACTCGAAACAATTTTCGATTTTCGAAATAAGGCGGAAATTTGAGAAAATGTGCTTCAACTTTGTTTTCCATATTGTTAAACAACTTGCATTGAAAGGTGGGTGAATAAGCGCACCTTCTGTATTGATTCCACCGTAGAGACCGTGAACTTTTTTCAGGTTCGAATCCAAGGCCTTCCACCTGTGTGCATTGTGTTCACAAGAACAGATGGGTTTTCACCTTAAATCAACATTCTTCAACTTATGTGCAAGATTTCATGCCCAAAGCACAGGCCACGTGATTATTGTAGAAAAAAGCAAGTCCAATAATCAATTCAACGCACCTATATCAATGAATATTTCATGAATGGCAGCGCGAAAATTACGCAACCTGGTTTGCAGCAGAAAAAGGCAAATTGATATGGTAACGGTGACGGCGCGCAAAGGATTAATGCCCGTTTATGTCAAACAGCTTCAAGTTCTCGCAGTACTTGGTGCGGCAAGAAATGACATTAGAAAAGCAAAAACTTAAAAGCAGTGAAACAATTTGAAACAAGCCCGGGCCTCCAAACTACGCATATGTCATCAGGCTGCGGTTAGGCCGCGTGCTAGAGCAAGACAAAAGCACACTCTGGGCTTTGTAAGTGCGAGTTGCATTGATACTGACGTGCTGGGCATTATTGATTGCGAGATTGAATGACTCACAACAGGTTGCAGCGAATGTTTCCAGCTGCCATTGATTAAATTGAATTGACCCTTCGCGCGTTTATGAATCAAACTTTATTCCAATTCCATTGACGATTTTCATTGATAAATTTCATTTAATAGATCCTCAGCAACCTGTAGTTTCTATTCACCTTGCTCTTACGACGCTGTGTTTGATTGCCATCTTCACGTTCTTTTGCAGTTTTAGAATCGGCATTCACATGTTAATCGGATTATTTGCAAAATAAACGACAAGATATGTTGAATACAAGCTTAAAACAAGCAGGTCCGTGAGTTATTACATTGACTCAAATGTTCAAGTCTGCAGCATCTGTTTAATGTTTTCCACAACTACAATTATAGACTGGGGCACTGGCTATACATTCCTAGATAAAAACAAGGTTCATAGATAAATACGATGGAAGATTATCAAAATATTGGGAACAAAAGTCCATTTAAACTGTAATACTAACAGATCCTCTTGGCATATCATTTAATATCAGCTGCTCTTGTAGCAATTCTCAAAATTTCTCATTCTACAGCATATGAACCAAACCTGGAACCTTTTCTATAGAACAAAAGAAGCAAGGTGATGTTAAGGCATTGGGCTGATGCACAAGCA